AAAGTTCTCACGCAAAATATTATTTATACTGTTTATGTACTACACAGCTTTATTTTTTGTGTACAAATTCGCTACACTGTCAACATCAAAACATTGGTTTATAGTTCCAACTTTTAATACAAAATAAACTCGGCGGTCACGTGGTTTTATTGTCCCAAAGATACTCGATGACTGTACATAATTGAAAAATTAAATATAAATCCAAAATAACAGCTTTTAGAAAACATTGTTTTCGTCGTTTAGAAATTAATTAAGAATGCTACGATAGAATATTTCATCACTATGGCGTAAAGCGACTCTTTTGGACCCGAGCTCAAGTTTCATAGCTGTTTTTGCTGCAGTATGACGCCATGAAAAAAAAAAAACTATTAAGTATTCGATACAGTAATGGTGAACGAAAAATGAAAGGGTTTCTTTTTCAAACACGTATCCAATAACAAAATGTAACAATTTTAATGTAAAAAGTCTTACTCGTGGTTTGAGAAAAATCTTCTATAAGCACTAATTAGCATTAGAGTGCTCCACAAATTATTTTAGAATCAAATATTTTGTAGGAACGTAAAAACTCGGTTGTTTTCACAATTGAAGAGTGCTTGAGTCCCTTGCCTCTGGGGCTGTAATGAGCTATGAGAATGTACAAAATGTCAACTCCTTTCTAGGCAAGAGTACAATGATTTGTTGTACACAATCAAACCAATTCATACGGGATTTATGATGTATAAATCGTTTATTTATTATAATTTTCAAGTATTTAAGTGACTTGTAAATACATTAGATTTGTGCACACCATTTTAAGTTATAGAGGCAAGTTTACGTTAATTTTGAGTTTATATATTTTTAATCAATGATATTTCGTTAGTCTAAGGTGGTGAGTGTATCAAAACATAAATCCGCAATTGAAAATGTATTTACATTATAGATTAAGTAGTTAGTTGACCCTGTTCGTACTTTTGTATGTGTCTTGCAGCTCAAGAGATTAAAAGTGTGAGTCTAATAAAATATTAAGGAAGCAGCAGTCTGATTAGTTAGTTTTATCTAAATATAATTAACATCACTTATGGTAAAGCCATTGGGGATTTAGTTGGCCTCAATTCCTTTATGGTTCATGTGTGAACAATGCATTGTGGTTCGTTTTTTAAAAGATAATAAAGATATATAAATTATAACGACAATATATTATGCAGGCATTCTATAGAATGACTAGGCATCCTTATATATGGATAATACGTGAAGGCGATTTCTACGAAACACTACTCCTCCGATAATAATGGAAGGATTTTTACAAACGATGTGTCAAAATTAAGTATTTTTTGTGTAGACGCCCCCTTTTTCCAATTCCTGTAAGTCTTCGGGCTTTGCCCCACAGGTCATCAAAATCCCAATGTATTTCTTGTCCTATATAATATTTTAAGGTTTTTGGAAAAATATGTAATGGAGTAATACAAAGATAATTTTGTACACTTTGACTAGGGATTTTTTATGATTCCTAGGACTTCTAAAGAATGTTCACAGGGGTGTCAGGCAATGAGTAAAGGAAAAATATTTGTTAAAAACACTATTAAACTTGAAATTTTAAAATATTTTGTGTATGTTTAGGTTAGTTAAGGTTAGTCTATTTTAGATTAGATTAACCAATGCCTAAAAATGAATCAAACGTCTCCACAATTCCTTTAGAATAGAAGATTATTTAGTAAAAGTATTGAGAAAAAGTCCTTAGTCAAAATATCAAAACTATGATTACACAACTAATTATTGCACTTTTTTGGCTTTTTTGGGGGCCCAATCATGACTGACTACTGGTCAAACTGGACTGAAATTTGGCATGATGATAGCTAATATTCCCCATTAACATATGATATATTATTATCTCTAAAACCCTTTTGGGCTATATAGTGGCTCCCTTTTGTATAGTGGTTTATTATAGTGGGACCCTTTTGGCCCTATAGTGGCTCTGGAGTTTGCCATAGTTAAAGAATCAAAGAATGTAGAGAGCTGTATTAACCAAACAAATAAGTTGGATTCCAGGATGTTCAATAGCATTATCAAGTTAACAGGTTTAACAACAGAGTGCAGCCCTATCACTTTTTAGTTTTCCCCATTTCGAAGAATGGGTACCGCAGCTAGTTTGTATAATATTCAGTTACGGTAATTGTCAAAAATGTACATACATTATTAGAAATGACAGAGATGTTATTTGTAACTGTTAATTGAATTAAAAAATAGTTTACTCTTGTTAACCATAAAAATAATCAGTACTGTCTGAAAACAAACGTGGAGTAATAAAATCCGCTTAGAATGATAAATCTTGAATTTCCTTTTGAATATAGAACGCTTTTAAGGGGTTCCCACTTTGTTGACCCAAAAACGATTAGTTCCCAACTTTCTTGGAGCGTTTAGATGACTAAATTGGCAAAAGTAATGGGCGAATGTCGGCAATCTATGTGCTCTAGAATAGTAATTAAATTTAAGCTAACTCTAAGATATGTTCTGTTTGCAGAGGAATTAAATTTGTTTCAGCGATAAATCGAGGGTTGTTAACATTTACAGATTTTGCTAATATGAGTGCGTGTGAAAATATTTAAAACTAATCGACATAATATTTGAGATACTAACGTAGTTTGAATAGTGAATGTTCATGTACTTTTTATCTTGGTGGAATTGAATCTTAATAAATGAATTCAATTATTGGGTGTATGGTGTGTGTAGTCTTATATTTGGCATATCGGGTTTCGGAGCGAGAGTCTAGGGTTCGATTCCCTCCTTATCCATAAATTTTAGGGGTTTGGGCAGCTTTACCTTAAAATATTAGAGATCCTTTAGTGAAAAAAATGTCTCCGGTTCACGTAACGAAAGATACCAGAAAAATATAAGAATTCTAAACAATATTTATTATGGGTGACTTAGCTTTTAAAATATGACATCATTTTTTTATAATTATAATTTTTTGTAAGTTTAGTCAAATGTTACCATTAACTGCTATAAAAAAATAAAAACATAACACCCAGTAAATTTCTATTGGTGTTGTAAATGTGAAAACAACTGGCTTTGAGGGAAATTTGGTCCCTTTACAAAGTAAAACATTGTTACTTCCCTTTCAAACGTCCAGACCCGCAATTTTCTAACACTTCGCTGTTTCTGTAAGTTTGAAAAGAGCTCTTTTAGGTCTGCAAACTCAATATTGTCCTATGTGGGAAACACTTTCGTTTTGCGTAGTAGACATAAATTTGTGGACGAAATATATTTTCCTAGAGTACTGCACTTTTTGTGTTAAATACTTTACTATATTTTTTTAGTTCGGTTAGTTAGGATTTCGTAGGATCGTAAATATTCAATTAAGGTTAAAAATCTGGATACTTTCGATGGTTTCTTGTGAGTATTTTTCCTAATGAGTTTTGATAGCCTTTCGAGTATTATCAATGTCAATTAGTGTTGCGAATATTTTTTTAAATCCTTATTTTATTTTTTTAATCACGCAAATCAAACGCGTGTTTTCCATAAATGTTATGATATTATCTGCACAAACCTGTACTGTTTGTGTAGTTTATATAGATTGTGGATGTATAAAAAAATCTGTTTGGTTAAACTACTTTAACTAGCCCAGCTGAGACCTCGAATACACGAGTTAAACGAGTTAACGAGGGAAGTTTGGAATAATGTATGATTCATACAACATTGAATCCTAACATTCTATGGTAGATTGAATGACGATATATATTTTTTGAATGCTGAAAATCGATGAACTGATATAATGGATGAAGATTCGTTCTAACTGTGAAGATAGAGCGAAGGTTTTTTAGTGCGAAAATTTAAAAGAAATCAGGTAACGAACTAATACAGAACTATATCGATATGATTTTATTAGTGATAGTTGTAGGCTGTATTCGAACGGGGGCACAATTATAGTTGTGTTCACGAGTATCGGTTATTAATCGTTAAGGTATTTTTCAAGTGTTTATAAAATCGTAAGAATCAATTAGTGTTAATGATACGTAATTCATAATAAAGTACAATATTACTGATATAGCCATAAAATATTCCCTTCGTTTTAACGTAACTAAAAGTATTTATTGTAAAAGTATCAACCATTATAGCGTTATATTTCATTCGAGGTATCCACAAAACCCTTTATAAATCAACATAATTTCCCTATTTTTTCATAATATCGTTGAAAACAATGTCTAAGGCTGAAAACGTCACAAGAGATATCGTATTGACGAATGCTACTCGATATAGAAACTCCATCACAGTGTGGGACCGTAAACAGTAATGGCGGCGGTAAAATGGCGGGAACAGGTGTAAAACGGCGGGAAGCGGTCGTACGTACCAGATGTTACGTTATGTTTTGACATTTACAACCATATATCAGCAGGTGTTACGTTTGCGGATGTCTTTGAGATTTATGACATGGCATCCTAGTGAAATACCTTACTTTGAAGTGTTTTTAATCTTGAACTACGAAGTTAATTTAGAAATATTTTCATAGAATATGTTTATGTTTGTAGTTGTTCCATACTACTAATACTTATCAAACAAATAAGTAGATTACGTATGGTAAATATGTAGCTCCTTTAGGTTGCCAACATGACTTTAAAATAGTGTGAAGAAATAAACAAAGCTCTTTCTTAATATCCTTAATTTATGTCGTGACTATAATTGTCTTCGAAGACCACGATAGATACGCGCTTCGACTGAAACTACCAAGTTCCACGATGATCGAAGATACAGGAAAAGCATATGTTCACATCTTATGATACCAGATCGTAAACTCTACTGTATTCCAACTCTAGGACCAAATCTATCTTCTAAATTGCCCTCATCTTTTCCATTCTTGACCAAGTATTACTCTAACGTAGAAGATCCTCCTTGTTCACCTTGATTTAAAAAATGAATATCAAAACATCAAGATCAATTCAGCCTCACACTACTAACAAAACTCTAACACCAAGAGCTCCAAAACACAAAGATGAAAACGACTACAGACTTGCAAAATGGAAACAAACCTCCGAAATATCACTACTACCGAACCCGGTGATTCGGCCGTTCAGGTCAATGTAGCTAGGGAGCCTAGAGTGAAGTCCTACAGGAGCAGTTCGCAAGAGGTGTTGATCAGGATGTCCCTTGTGCAGAGGGAAGGGTTCTTTGAGCTCAAAGTGGCGGCAATTGTCTGGAAGGCGCCCCAACAACTGTTCCTGCTGCCGTTGATTATAATGATCAGCTGACGCGGGGGCGTGCTGAGCCTGCAGCTGGTTGAACCTCTTCTGAAACTGCTGATGGACCACATCCGGAGCCGTATGATGTTTCTGGATCTTCCTCCGCGCTTGGCGCGAAGCTATAGAAGCACCTCCGGCGGCTGCGTACATCTCTTACAGATTCATTCTCCAATTACAAACTGTGTCATTTTAGTTCGAACATTCTGGAAGTTTTATCGTAGCTGTACTGTTCTAGCATCTTGAGTTGGCGTATGGGTTTCCAAAAATAATGTTCTCCATTATTGCTCTAATTCGTTTCGTTGGATCCTAATTTAGTGTGAGCTTTGTACTTACTTCTAGTGATTATCCTTATTTACTTATTTGTCTTAATTGTGCGTCTTCACTCAATCTCGCTGGGAGTGTTCTGAAACAAAATACAAACTTTTTAGTCAATAAGTATTATAGTAGTTTAACAGTTATGGATGTATGTTGGACAAAATGAAGTCGATATGGAATGGTAACTATTCTACAAGAAATGCATCATATAAACAAATAGCCTAATAGTCAAAATATTTAATCCTAAATGGATAAGAAAACTTATGTTAATTCGAAGTAGTACTGTCCACACCGGAGCCATTTAGCCCGAGAGATGATCGAACGTGCACAATGTTGTCCGAACCACATAAATGGATTTAGAAGTCCAAAGGGTTTTTTTTCATCCAAGTTCATTGTTGGCGTCGATGAGTTGATGTTATTAATGAGGTTAATAAGTAATGTTTCGTAATAGTATATGTTTTTAATATTACAAAGTAATTGCTAGTTACTCAGAGTTTTTGGTTCTTTAATCTATTCCCTTCCTACCCTTGATCAGGCAAAACAAAAGCATACAACACGATTTGAGTGTAAAAATATCTGAAAACACAAAATTTAAAAACCACAATTTTTTACAATAAAAAGGTATTGCTGTAGAAGTAAAAAATTATTAAAATTATATCAAAGATTTTCTTAATTTTATTTTCACCTTCCTCTACAGGCAGTTTTCCAGAAATTGTGAGTGATGAAAAACTCGCTTACTGCTTATTTAGAAACCAGATCAACCCTTTTAACTTTCACTTTCCCTCCAAAAAGTGCTACATGCCCTCCAATTCCTCCCCACTGTTGCTGACCCAGTTGGCACCTTGCGTGTTGTGAAGCACGCCAGGCCATGATTCAACCTTCAGTCTCTCCACCCGGCTATGGAGTGTCGTAAACCGCCTTAGCACAGGGTAAACGTAACGAGCCGTCCTCAACAGCACAAGGTGTACCACAGGGTTGCGTTTTATGGCCATTCCTATTCTATTGAGATTTTGCGTGTGCGGACACATTATTCAGTGTATGTTTTTCGGTACGGCATACAAGAATAGAAAAATAAACGATCCCTGTAATGAAGGATGTTTGGAAGTTGTAAAGATATTTTTTCATTACTCTGTTTCATGGACTTTGTATGCATAGATTGTTGACGGAAACCTATACTATTGATGGAACAGCAGAAAGTCATTGAACTTGTTGAAATAGATAGTGCATAAATGTCTAAATTATGAATGCGAATGATTCTAATAGGACGTGAGATCTTACAAAAAGTGATTATGGATTTATCTCTTTAAGAGTCAAAATACAATTGATGATTGAGCGTCTAGAAGAAATCAAAATCGTTTCCTGTTACACGCAACTATATAGCAAATCACTAAAAAATACCATAAGAAAAACTGTACAGAAAATAAAAATGTATTTCGACAAGTCATCTAAAACACATAGGCTAAATTAAAGTAATCAATATTTATAGATGATTCTAAATTTAATCTAATCTGCAAAAACTATATTTTTTAAATTATAATTACGAAAGTGTACACAACATAGCAAAATCTGTAAGAAAACTAGCTACAAACAAATCTTAAGTAAATTAAAAGCGCACTGAAAGTATTTTAAATGCTCAAATAGTACCCAAATTATAGAAACACCATTCATAAATAAAATGTTGCAATACATTTCTCAGGCGCTGTAACAGCCAGCCATTGTTGAAGGAGGGATTTAATATTTAAAGGGCCAGAACAGAGGCGAGAGGTAGCGGGTATAGTAGCCTTGGGACTCGTTACTCCGCCTTCAGCTCCGATACTGACTCGCTCTCACAATAATTAATTTATAGACACCAAGAAAACAATGCATGCGGCTTAGCACTAGTCTATACAACAGGATAATTTGAAACTAAAACGTCAAAAATTTGTGTAGATTTAACTTGCAAGCTAGGTTTATGTACCAACAGATATTTCTGTAACTAGTGTGCGAAGTTGCACATTCTATTTCCTACAGTTATTATAAAGCACAGAAATTAGCCTTTCGAACACTTAACAACACGTTTTAGGTTATGTTAAATCCAAGCGTTTAACGAAATGGGTAATACTGTACCAGCTGATCGTAGTCGTATAGTATCTTTAAGTGTTGCCAACTTAGCCAACTTGCCTAATAAGAACAAAATTGATTTTGTTGTTTGGTTAAAATACTTACAGTGAGACAAAAAATGAGTGTGGCAAAAGTGCGTAAATGCAGCAATTAGCTACTTCGCATATAAATGATTACAAGAAAATCCGCTTTGTCAGGTAATAACTTATTTTTCCTACAGTTACCTAACAATGTACATGTTCTCTCACTGATTTGAGAAAGCAAAATGGCCAATTCGCTCATCAGTGAGACAATGTTAACATTGTCTCACTCTAATTACTTTGTCTCACTCCAGATTTGCAACGTGAAGGCACGAAATAGTGGGCGAGTAACATGCAGGCAACGTCGTATGCGCGCGAAATACGTTGGCAGTACTGGCTGTAAATCAGCTGGTCAGCTGTTGTACTGTTGTATTTGTCACTTCACACTAAATGTTATATTAAAAGTTCACTTCTGTGTAAAAATAGGTTATGTTTCTTTACCAATTTATTTGTTTTATGGTAACTGTAGGAAAAGTATAATGTGCAACTCGAGTTCAAAGTACAATTGCCTCACTCGAGAAACCATTCCTCACTCGCCTACGGCTCGTGAGTAAGGATTTCTCTCGAGTGAGTCAATTGCTCACTTTTCTCACTAGTTGCACAAATAACTATTCACTTCAGGCAAGTCAGTAGCTTTAAATGGTGTAATTGAAATTTTAAAAGTGGATTTTTACTACAACATTTTTAAATGGTAATATGAAAAAAACTGACAATTTAAGAAGGTTTCTTTTAATGGAAAATAGGGAGTCATTACTAGGCCCTACTATTTGATTCTGGCCTTCAATAAAAACATCTGGTTCAGGTTGAGAGATTTGCTTTAAATAATTTGTAAATTTACCACTACCAAAATTATTCAAAATTATTTATCCAACAAGTTTTACAGTTTAAACCAGTTTGATGGTACAACCTTGGTACAACATTTTAACGCAGTTAATGTTGCCTTATTTTACAAATGAAAAGTTGTAAAATAGAAGATAGAATCGTAGAAGGAGTTGATAAAAATATAATTAGCTTCAGACAGAAAGCAGACATTTGAAATTTTCAAAGTTATTATAGGTCAAGTTGTGCAATCTTTCAGATTATAAGTCGTGCAACCATTCTTCCAACTTAATAATTAGATAAGTATGGCTGAAATCCTATTTTTAGATGAGCGATTTTCTAGCTCGCTCTCAATACGAAGATTGTCGGTTTGATTTATAATTTATTAAACAAAACTACCCGTTGAGAATAAAAATGAGTCGAATATAGCTTTGATAAGTGTCACATTGATTTCTTGCCTTAAATAATCTTCGGTCTTTACCACTACGCAATTCTACATCCGATTATATGGGGCGTTTTGACCTAAAAACAATGAAATGGCGATTGATATAAAGTAGGCCTAGATATTCTAAAATACAAAGACAGAATATATACAGAGTAACCATTTCAAAGATTATTGTTATCAGTAAATAGTTAAATATAATAAAATCATGATTATGTATGTGCAGAGTAAATCTGCAACAGTGTCGGAACATAATTCAAACAAAAAAATAACAATTGTTGTTCGACCAATCACTCTTATGAGATTAATCACACTTAAATGTTCTAGAACACGTTCTATTGCCTCATTTGTACAACATAATGCATTTACTTACATTGCTTTTTATTTATCATTTGTGTAACAAGACGCAATTTATGATCTTGCCTATGTGTATCATAAGATACTCAATTATGTTGCTTATCATGTGTATAACATGACATATTCACTTTTATTGCTTACTCCGTGTATAATATGACAAATAATCTCCGAGGGCAGTTTTCCCCAAACATAGTTTAACATATTAAACTCAGTTAACTTTAAACGGTGGGTTAAACCAAGGACGGGTTTCCCCACGGTTTTGGGTTTGAAGTTTACTTTAACCTGACTTTTCTGTTCAAGCAAATGTGTTGGCAACCCTGATGTGCCATTTTGTCTGCAATATTGACTATACTTTTAAGTCCTCAATTTTCTTTGGTTCTGTCACTATTTATTTATTTGACATTGAAACACGTTCGTAATCGTAGCCTAGGTAGTACCATAAAAAACCCATAGATCACCAGCTAAACTGCCTCCACTGGTGAGCTATATCTAACCTAGTTTAAATCGATAACTTATTTTGGGGTAGGTAAATCTGGGAACGAAAACTAGACTAACCACGCCCCTCAGACTAACTAGTCACTCCTTAACCCAGTCACCTCAAATCACCTCAAACAGTGGCTTTTTTAACAAGTCACACAGTTAAAAGTCGTGTTATGTTTCGAAAGATACAAAGTTGGTGTTACATTTCATACTCCAACAGTTGCACGCAATCTCCTGACAAGTGTTTTATGATACAAGAATAAATTCAGCCGTTTTATACTCTAAAAATTGTGATTTAGACTATTTAGATTGTCGAAACATTATTTACTCGTAAATACGTTTATTTTTGACGATTGATAGACATTCCAACCCATTCAATCCCTTGGCCTCCCCTAATACAAGGCCTTGGCGAGACAAAAGTGGCAACGCCGCAGCTCCGGCCTACTGAACTAGCTGTTGAACTAACTCATAATGGAGCGTATGCGCAATTTTTATGTTTACACATTTGTTATCACTGGCATTACCACACCACTAGGACGGCCGGTGCGATGTTGCCACACATCTCAGGGGCATTATAGAGTAGGTCATGCCAATCTCCATTTTAAAGCTGCAGACAGTCATAGAATTAAAATGACCGTAGATAATTTGAGACACCGATAGAGTGCGTTGATGCAAATCAAGTTTTCAATCGCATACGTCAACTTTTCAACAAAGGCAAACTAAGATAACAAACCCTGTAACCTATACAATCTTTTTTGACTCATCAAAAGTATCAAATATATGGAAGAAAACATTCTCTACTAAAATCAG